TCCCATAACTCTCAGGATCTTTTAAGAAATTTAAAATGACTGTCTTACTGCGTCCAACCTCGGCAGCAATGGCGCGTTGCGAGAGCCCTTGCTTGTGCAGCTCAACAATCCTGCCACGTTCAAAAACAGAAAGCCTTTTTGCTTTTGCCATCAGGAGATCATGACAGTGTGACTGTCTGAAGGACAATGACATTAAAGCCATATTTTTGCACAGATTTTAACTTTTAAAGGCTATGGTCTTAAACCTTTGATCAGCTGATGACCAGCCTGTTTGAGTTTAAATGCAGTTTTCAATAAATTGCCTACTCTCTACAGCTGCACCTCTTTGCTCAAGAGTGCTGTGTGCAGATAAAGACTATTAATTGCTCGGCTGCCAGTAAAGGAACAGACGAAACTGCAGTAGCTTCCTGTGGTCAAAGTGTGAAGACAGCAGAACATTATAGAAACAATCACTTATTAGAATGAGTGCACAAATGTAAACGTGTGATATGCCTTGCAGCCAGCGTTACTAGGGTGTCTGCAGGCGTCAGCATGAGTATTTGCTCTTCTCCTGTCACTTTGGGTCAAATTTATGTTTACTCATGTGGACGGAGCCTGCGCACGTTAACGGTAGCTGAACTCAGAATGATGTATGGTGTCAGGTATATATATATATATATATATATATATTTTAAACATGAACGAGATGAAAAAAGGTAATAAAAGACACCTGTCTGAAATTAAATTTAAGACCATGCAATTTCAATTGAGACTTTTTAAGGATCCCCAAACACCCTGATTACTGTCAGATCTGCTGTTATAGAAAATTAGTCAGTACCTTCTGAACAATCAGATTTAAGAATTCATCAATGCTGTAGTATAAATTGTATTAGTTCATGTAACAAAAAAAAATGAACAGATGTAACCTCTGATGATGCAGCAGCCTGGGGTGGGGTGGGGTGTTGTGGAGCTGCTTCACTTCAGGATCCAGTAATCCATGCAGGTCAATGAAAAACATTTAGAATCAACTTTGATTAACTTCATTCTGATAAAATGTTCAGTAAGCTCCTCAGGTGGCGAGTCTGGTAGTCACATGACTGTGTCGTGACATGAGTCGCTGCTGCATTAAGGCCTTCCTGCATAAAGTGTCTTCGCAGAGTGTCAGTTTCGCACCCAGAAATAAGACAATGATCACACTTTGTGCTCGTTGAAAGTTTAAAATGAATAAACCAGGAAATAGGCTTTCAACATAACAGCAACACACACAGTCACCTAGGCAGTGCTCCTTCAGACAGCCACTCTGAGTGTAGTTTTAGACAATTAAATACCGGTGCAAGTGCGCTCTATAAGTTGGATCAGTGATACGGACCTCACTGAGAGCTCAGGATTACTGCAAAGAGAAGAATGGAGATAAGTGAGCAGATTTATGCAAATATAGAAGTTACAGCAGACAATAGAGCTGATTCCTTTGACAATAAGAAATTATATGAAGATGTAAATGTCAGTTTGGAGACCCAGAGGACCAGAAACTTCAAGCAATCTGAGAGCTCAGGTAAAATACACTCACACTCAGAAATATGTGTATATGTACTGATCCACTTCATGTACTTTAAATTACTTTTCATTTACTTTACTGCTCTACTTGATTTAATCCACTTGATTTAATTTCAAACGAAAGAGATGCAGTTGTACCGGTATTTATTTGTCTAAAACTACACTCAGAGTGGCTGTCTGAAGGAACACTGCCTATGTGTCTGTGTGCATCGCTGTTATATTGAAAAATGTTTTACTAATTTTGCTTAGGTTTTTCGCAACCAGCAGCATGTGTGATCACTTGTGAAGGAATGAAAACCAGTACTTTTATTGAAAGGCCCACTTCCCCTTGCTCGCTAGTTCCTTTTAGAGTGTGCTTTCAGCTGTGTGGTTTTCTGTGACAGACACTCGAGAGACACGTTAAACCACAGGGCCTTCCTTTGTAGATGAATGCATCACAATCAGAGAACAACACAACTGGATAATTTGCTCCTGTTGCTTCATATCAG